GGAGGCAGTCAGAGAGAACTCGGGACAACTGGAGGCATTTAGGGATGCAGGGACTGACAGAGACGGGGAAGAAGTCTCATTGTGACGAGTAAAGTTTACCTTGCCTGGATGGGCAGCTCTCTGGGTGCTCAGCACCCCCAAAGCTCTGATCCTAGAATCGCCCCTGCTATAAGGTCATTAAGATAAGATGGGCCTGATTATTTAAGACCTTGTATGTGAGGAGCAGGATTTTGAATTCAATTCTGGATTTAACAGGGAGCTGAAGGGAAGCCAATACAGGAGAAATGTGCTCTTTCTTCCCAGTCCCTGTCACTACTCTTGCTGTAGCATTTTGGGTCAACTCAAGGCTTTTCAGTGAGTTTTTAGGACCTCCTGATAATAATGAATTACACTAGTCCAGCCTAGAAGTAATAAATGCATATTTATTTATTTTTTTAGCGTCACTCTGATTTTAGAGATATTGTGCAAATGTAAGAAAGCAGTCAATCATTTTTTGGCAAATACAGGAAATCAGTTTTTGTCAGCCGATCACTTTTTGGCACAACACCCGGTCGTGCACGTCTTGATTTCTGTTTCAAGGCACTGCAGCACGTCGCATGTGGGTGAGAGCCCCTCTCCCTCTTGCCCAATTAAATTACTAAACATAATTACATATTGACATAATTAGAGAGAGATTCAAGTCAAATAAATAGCTGCTTTGACAATGAGCCACTGCTGATAGCTAGAGTGTGTGTCTGTTTTGTTTTGACTGATCATTCATGCTGGGGCGCTTACGCCAAGAAATCCGTTTGTTTGTTTTTTGTCCCAGGCCAGGCCCTTCGACCAGCCAATCAGATGCTACGTTACGTAGGCACGCACGCACGTACAGCCTGAGTACGTACCCGGTTGCATGGTTTGTGCTTCCACTGTTTTCTATGTTGTCGCGTATTATTCACCTTCTTATGGGTGTTATCTCGTGTTTAAGGAGCTTTGGAGCGTAGCACGACTTGAATGTGGCGTGCGACAACAGTTAGCCCAGTGAAAAAGATGTGATAGGCAGACAGGCTAACGACTTGTGAACAAGCTGCTAGCTACTTTTAGCTTGTTAAGCTCAGCTGGAAAAGTCCGGTTCTGCCAAATATGGTTAGAAGAATCACTAGTTAGCAGCAAGGTTACTGCTGTTCTTGGCGTTTTAGTGCTGTTCTGAGGAGATACTTTACTCGGACAGTTAAATCTTCACGTCTTCATCTTGCAACACGGGGCGAGCGTGGTGGTGACCGTCCTTGGCAGCTGTGTGCGCGTGGATCTCACTTGACTGTGAAACATCTGTCGAGTACTGACAGGAGTCAGTATGTGCGCTCCCTAACAGCTGCACTACGCAGGACCCTGAGTAACTCTAACCGGACCTTTGTGAAGTTTTTGGTTGTAGGTTCATTTAATAAGGATGGCTCGCCGTTCGGTGCTGTGCCACGGGAGTCGAGCCATCAGCCTGCTGTATGGAAACACTCTTCGCCCCCTCCACGCTTCACTGTGCAGCGCATCACCACAACCGAAAGCTGGGTTCAAACCAGAAAAGGTAGCAGTGGTCACAAAGACTACGCGGTATGAGTTTGAACAGCAGCGGTATCGCTATGCAGGAGTTTCTGAAGAAGATCTCAAGCAGTTGGTAAGACTGCATTCATGTGACTACCACAAAGCAAACACGCCACTTTACATTCTACCCTTCACCCAGTGTTTTACTTAATCTGTGTTCTACAGCTTGCTATGAAGGGCTCCAGCTACAATGGCCTGCTGGAAAGACACAACATCCACACTAGCAATGTGGAGCACATTGTGAAGAGCCTGCAGTAAGATACCGTCCAACAGCAATGTTTCTTAGAGAAATGGGAAGTGTTTGCAGCTGGGACTCTCTTTGTATTCTGTTTGTTTTCAGGAGAGAAGGCATTACTGTACAAGTGGTAAAAAGAGGAGAATACAATGAAGATGTAGTGCGGTGGGCAGATTCCATTATCTCTGCTGGAGGTAGGAATATTTTGTCATCCCAGGTATCATTTGTACAACAAAGCTGTCTGCTTGGGACAGTAATTCATTGTAAATGTAGAACATCAATAACGGCTTATATGGTCATTACCAGTATATATTCTGTTAATGTAATAACCACAGAATAAAAGGTTCTTCCTTGTCTTTCACTTTCTTTGTTCTTTAACAAAATCCAAGTTCATCAACTGGAATTGTGTGGGGGTTTTTTTTGTTTTTGTTTATTAGGTGATGGAACAATGCTACTTGTGGCCAGTAAGGTTTTTAGCAAAGACAAACCAGTCGTTGGAGTTAACACAGACCCTGAAAGGTAAAGCACAGAACAGACCATTGTTGGATATGAATTGTATTGTTAAATTAAAGTGGACCTATTATGTTAGTGATGGGCTAGTTCTGCATAGAGCTGGGCAATGTAGACAAAATTATTATCACTATTAATGTTTTTTTTCTTTATTAAACAATTCTGGTAATTATTGATATAGATCTAGGTACATGTTAGTATTCTAAGCTAGCTGTTTGTTTTAGTATTAATAACTAATAGGATACAATTACCTGAAACATGGGGAAATTACTGGTTTACATGCATTAAAAAATACAATTAACTCAAATTAACTGGCAGTATAACACTGTGCTGTACTGTTTAACAGTGCAGGCATAAAAAATGTAAATTAAGTCTACATCTAAAAATCTTCAAGTAAAAACACGACATAGAGACTAATGTATTGTATCTGAATAATTGCACCTGTACCTCCAATTAAGAAGACTAGCCTGTTCACGGTTTCAAGTTTAATAGACATTGTCAAAGGAGCTTGCAAAGAAAAGCGTCTGGACTTCTTTAAGTTACTTGAAGACGTTTCACCTCTCATCCGAGAAGCTTCTTCAGTTCTAAGGTCAAATGGTGGGGAGTCCCAGATTTAAACCTAGTGGGAGTATCCCCCCGCAGAGGGACAAAAGGACCCCCTGGTGATCCTCTAATCGCCTGAGCCAAGGTGTGAAACTGGGTGTGGGTCCCAATCAGCCAGAGTTTAATAGACATTCTTTTGCATATTTTTGAAAGTAATGAAAGAGGTGTGTGTCATTTTACTGAACTTTGTCAGGACCTGTCGGCGCTGTGTCTTTTAACCTGTCTATCTGTGCTCAGTCTGAATGGAGGAAACTCAACAACTTCTGCACTTTTGCCTTTTTGCGACTTGTATTATCTCTTCCTGAGCAGCTGGCTTTTCGGCATTACTTGTTGGGTGCGGCCGAGTATTAGAGCCACGTTAACCTGTTGAACCCCATTGCCCCTGGTACCAGGGTTGAGAGGGAGAACATCTATTGGCCCGATAAGCCATGTGTATTGATTGAATTTATCATTGTCATCAACATTTTTAAAATAGCGTGATCGTTTTGTCCTCCAGCACTAGTTCTGCATGGTTTGGAGACGATCTTTATCGTTAGGCTGGACCTTCGTCCGCCCCTTTAGTTCATCCTCTGTCTTACATGTATTGGGGCTCTTCACTGTCGCAGAGCCAGAAGAAGGGAAAAACTGTCTGAAAATGAGTATTTAGAGCAGCCATGAATTTTTTAGCTCGCAATAATTATTTGCAAGTACACTGACTTCATTCTTTGAAATTTTGGCCACATCCACTGTTGGAACAGTGTGTATATACACAACAGAAAGTAAATGAAAAGCATAGTAGGTCCACAATAATAAAGACTGTGTGTTTTATTGAAAAGTCATTAATGTAAATTTCTCAGTGCAGTGGTGTGTAAGTATTTAAATAAGTTGACATTTTCATGGGATTAAGCCAGCCGATTGCTGGTTAACATTTCCAGGTGAGTATATTGAAGTTTTGTCTTTCTACTGAAGGTCAGAAGGTCATCTGTGCCTGCCTGTGCGATACACTCGTGCCTTCCCAGAGGCACTGGAGAAGCTGTGCCGTGGTGAGTTCAGGTGTGTATTTTTATCTACAAATGCTGACTGCTCTCACGCCTTCCTCAATGTTAGCAGCTTTTTCTGGCTCAGTAGTGACGATCTACAGTTATGGTCCATAAGTATTTGGACAGTGGCTGAATTTTTGCAGTTTTGCCTCTGTGCACAACCACAGTTGCTTTTAAATCAGGTAACTTACCAATGGAAATGGGGGAATGTGTATGAAATGAGTGTAGTTAAACAGTTAATGCAATACCTTTGTTAAAGTGTAAAGTACCTTGAGTTAAAGTGAAAACTCTGCACTTTAATAACATGTTTGATTTAAAATGTACTGTGGTTCTGCAAGGTAAAAATGCAAAATTGTATCATTGTGTCTGTATTGAAGGCCCTGACAACTGCATTATGTTATTAACTAATACCAGTGGATTATTTTATGTTCAAAGTTGTACAGAAAATAGTCCATAACTCTTTGCTGCTGGCTATAGCGTACTGAACACCATGGAGTTGTTGACATGTCATTAGCTTATAGTTCAGGAGTTTAAATCTGTGTGTCTGGGGAAAAGTCACATGATGTCTAAAACCCCAAAGCTGTGTCGGATATCCTAAATCCATTTACACTGTCCTGCTACTAGAGTTCACTGCTGCCCACTGTCAAGAGTTTTGGGAAAGGTGTCCAGTGAAAATGAATATGGTGATATTTGGCATGCTGTCTTAGTGTCACTGTTTTATTTCCTCAGATTCTGTAGTTATGTTTCAAAGTAGACCTCCTCTTCTCATAAAAGTGGTTTAAAGAGGATTCAGAGACAAATATAGAAAATGGAGAAATGGCGCACACACAAGGCTAACGCCTCTTGAGACTGCAGATCTCGTCCCCTTACATTTCCCTGGCTGTCTTCAGGTGGCTGTGGCGTCAGAGGATCCGTCTGCACTTAGAGGGCACAGGAATAAATCCCAATCCAGTGGACCTCCACGAACAGCAGCTCAGCCTGGAGCAGCACAACCAAGCTCACCGCTTCACCTCCATGGACAACTTAAACAGTACGACCCACTCAGCATTAGGACTGCCACGATTAGTCGACTAGTCACGATTACACCGACTATCAAAATAATCGTTTGTGGCAGCCCTACTCAGCATGCTTGTCTGATCCAGTCTCTTTTCTCCAGTGTCACTCAATCCTGAGTTTGGGCAAACATGGCGTGAGATTGGAGTTATATTGATGTTTTCTTGATTTCTTTCCCTGCGTCCTTTTCCCAATTCAATTACTCTTTCTAGGGACAGGAACACTACATGAGACCTTCTACAAGCCTAGCCTTCTTCCTGTTAGAAGCTTAAATGAAATCTTCATTGGAGAATCTCTGTCTTCCAGGTACCTTAATCACGGAAACAGATTCTTACTCCCATCTAAGCATGTTTGCATATTGTAATTTTCATAAATCCTCAGTCCCTTCACTGGCATGCTGCACGCTTTTCCAGCACTCATCAGGAAAAATCTCTGTCCACCACAGGGTGAAGTTAAAATCCTTCAAACCCCATGTTAACCTCTTGCTCCATAGGGCTTCCTACTACGAGATCTCCGTGGATGATGGCCCATGGGAAAAACAAAAGAGTTCTGGACTGAACATTTGCACAGGAACAGGATCCAAAGCCTGGTACACAAAACAACTTTAAATGTTTAAAAAAGTAGTTCCTAATCACCTTCCTGCACCAGGAATAGCTCTTCCTGCACCATTTAAAGCTTTGATGCTTGAGTCAGGTGCAAATGAACCTCATAGGTTCATAGTCTCTTCACATAAGTGAGCAAATTCTTACTGGACTGTAAAAAGTGTGATGTGATGGGAAAAGTTTCAAGTCACTGGAAAAACCTAGGTTGTAACATCTGTATGAGCACAGCTGCACAGTAATAATAGCCAGTGGGCCTTTATCATGTTGTGTGGATCAACCAAAAATTTCTCTTAGTTGGCTCCAAACACTTGATTCATCTTTGGTTGGTCTGTGAAGAGCTTTTAATATTCAGATTAATATTATTAAACTTCACCTAACATTGAAAGGAGATGCAAGCATGACTTAAACACACACAGATAGATATAAAGATAGATATAAAATTTATATTGGCCCAGCTGTGATTTACTACTAAAAATGCTGATTCTTTACTTAGACATTGTTTTATTTTTGTCACGTTTTATTTTTCCTATAAATGATGAAAGCCATTGATGTAAAGCGTGATATTGCCTTGCAAATAAGAATGAAAAGAATCGTGTCTTTACACTTGTCAGCTCCCTCACGATCTTCTCTCTTGTGCTCCACAGGTCATACAACATCAATAAACTTGCTGAACAAGCAGTGGAAGAAGTTCTAAAAATTGGTACGTACTGTACATGTGCAAATTTTGAGGTGCAAGACCCGCAGATATAGGGATGGGTATTGATAAGATTTTCACGATTCCGATTCCATTTTTGATTCTGCTTAACGATTCGATTCTTTATCGATTCTCTTATTGATTCTTTTAAAAAAGGAGAACACTAAGGTCGATTAGCTTAGAACTTTGTTTTATATCTTCTCTTTGAACAAGATAGAAATTTAGGAGTAACATGGCCTTACAAACCCA